TCACAGGAGACCAACTATGTAAATTAGAGACTGTGGTATCTCCAAAGCAAGATCACAGGAGACCAACTATGTAAATTAGAGACTGTGGTATCTTCAAAGCAAGATTACAGGAGACCAACTATGTAAATTAGAGACTGTGGTATCTCCAAAGCAAGATTACAGGAGACCAACTATCTTATATCAAAGACAAACTCACTGAAGGCAAAATATTTTCTATTTCAAACAAGTTCACAGTCAGCAAACATTGGTATCTCCAAGAAAATTTACAGGAGGGAAACTGTGGTATATCTTAAACAAGTTCACAGGCAGAAAACTGTGTTATATTCCAAGATAGTTCATGGTGAGCAGGCTGTGTTATCTACCAACCTAGTTAACAACAGACAAACTGTAGTATCTCCCAAACAAGTTCACAGTCAGCAAACTTTGGTATCTCCAAGAAAATTTACAGGAGGGAAACTATGGTATATCTTAAACAAGTTCACAGGCAGCAAACTGTGGTATCTTGCAAACAAACTTAGAGGCAGGAAACTGTGGTGCCTCCGAAGCGACCTCATAGGCAGCAAACTGTGGTATCTTGCAAACAAACTTAGAGGCAGGAAACTGTGGTGCCTCCGAAGCGAGCTCATAGGCAGCAAACTGTGATATCTTCCAAACAAGCTCAGAGGCAGCAGACGGTAGTATCTACCAACCTAGTTAACAACAGATAAACTGTAGTATCTCCCAAACAAGTTCACAGGCAGCAAATTGTGATATATTCCAAATAGGTTTACAGGCAGCATACTGTGGTATCTCCCAAGCAAGCTCATAGGCAGCAAACTGTGATATCTTCCAAATAAGCTCAGAGGCAGCAGACTGTAGTATCTCCCAAGCTACTTCACAGGCCACAAACTATGGTATCTCTCAAACAACTTCACAGGTCGCAAAGTGTGGTATCTCTCAAACAACTTCAAAGGTCGCAAACTGTGGTATCTCCCAAATAAGTTAGAGGTAGCAGACTCTGGTATTTTCCAAGCAAGTTCACAGGCAGCAAACTGGGTATCTCCCAAACAACTTCACAGGTAGCAGACTCTGGTATCTCCCAAACAACTTCACAGGCAGCAAACTGGGTATCTCCCAAATAAGTTAGAGGTAGCAGACTCTGGTATTTTCCAAGCAAGTTCACAGGCAGCAAATTGGGTATCTCCTAAACAACTTCACAGGTAGCAGACTCTGGTATCTCCCAAACAACTTCACAGGCAGCAAATTGGGTATCTCCTAAACAACTTCACAGGTAGCAGACTCTGGTATCTCCCAAACAACTTCACAGGCAGCAA